ATTTTTATTGACTTGTGTATGAGGATTTATCCAATCTCTCCTGGGCAGATAGACATGTCTGTCCTGAGTCTGCGACTTAACACCTGCACCAGAACCGGAAGGTTTTTTTGATCCATCTGTTAACCAACAACTATCTGCTCTTAATATTTCCTTCTCCCGGAGGATCCAGTCCTGCCTACTCGGGAACAGTATTCTATAAGGCAGTTCGGAGTTGATAGGTGGAGGCATAAAGTCAGAGGTCATTTCCAGAAAGTTGTGACTTCCAGTGTCAACCAACAGTCTGTTGCACCCTGCATTTAATTGATTTGTGCAATTGGCAATGTGCACAAGTCTGTATGCGGTGTCTTTGTGTAAAACTTTATCCAAGTGACCGTTCCAGGTGAGTCTTTTATCAAGGACAATGCCAAGATATTTTACCTCCGTTCCAAATGGAATGACCTCACCATTGAGGTAAAGTGGCGTTAGATCNACACGTGTAAATATGAAATTGTTTTATCAAAATGCGTGTTCTGTCCACTAGTTCAGTAAACGATCGACCAACACTCGTAGGTGGACGAAACGCAAGATCTGTCGAAAACATCGCCGCTGTCTGTGAGAGTGTGCACGAGAATCCTAGGCAATCGATTCAACTGGCCCAGTAACTGAAAGTAAACGACCATAAACAACAACGTGTGCTCCCTGAATGGGCTCCGAAGCAGTTGGCAACTGATCCTAATTTTCATCGATCTTCAGCGATGAGACCCATTTCTGTATGAACATGAACAAACAAAACTGTCGAATTTGGGACGATACTAATCCACATTATGAGACCCATGCGCGTCCAATACATCCCGAAAAGTCACTGTTTGGTGGACACCAATGACATGTGGTTTCAACAGAACGGCGCTAGATGCCGCAGCTCATGCCAAATTGAATATTCTGAATGAGCGATTTGAGGGTATGGTCATCTCGCGTGGAGGTGATGTGAACTGGCCACCGAGATCGTACGATTTGACCCCGTTGGACTTTTTCTTGTGAGGTTTTTTTGAGTCGCGGGTTTATGCGAACCACAAACCACAGCCATTAGTCAATACCAGCCTGATTTTTTGTGCCAGAATCATGGAAAATTGGACGTTTCGGATGTGCTCCAAGCCGTGGTGGACATTTAAACGATGTTATATTCCATACATAATAGCATCAATAGTCTTTACAAGCACTACCAGCAGGCAGATTGGGCAAGTCTAGTTGAAAGTGCGGTACGAAGTTTGATATAAGAAATAGTCTGAAGTTCATTTGAAGTGTTTGTGCTGTATTATCAGTGAAGTAGTGAAATGCAGTTGAGTTCAACTGTACAGTGTAATCAATAATTATCGAACACGGGGAAAACGTAACAGTATCAAGGCCTCCGCAAATTATGTACGTTTTCCCATGATTAGAAAAGAAGGTGAGCTTAATCAGATATGTATCCAACACCTAATGTTCCTTTGAGCCAAATTCCATCTGGTCCTGCCGACTTATATAGTTAGAATGAATTTAGGATCCATTTTAATATCCTTCAAATCTGTCACTTTTTTGTCTTTACCTTCCTGGACATCCAGTTCTGAATTTCGTGGTGGTTCCTGCCGTTGATTTAATAGCGATTTTCTCTTTTACTTCCACATCAGACAGTATATTTATTCCTTTTCGGATAATTATCCATGTTCTTGGGATCTCTCAATCCCATGATATTTTTCCCTTGTAGACTTAGAGTTTTTCTATGCTTTTCGCAGCTTTTTTAGGGACCACCGAAACTCTTTTACATTCTGGAACCTCTTCAGTGAGTTATGTCAGGAACACTGCTTGGTTTAAAGTTGGCAACGAATACTAAGTCTGTTTAGAGTTGATGTCAACTAGATTTTTAACAAATTCTTTACATCTTTTGAAATGATTGGTTCTGTTATCATCGACATCCACGACATCCAAAAAAACTCGCTGATTCCTCGACTGAATGGACTGCCGAATGGAAGGTAGCTGTAAATCTCTGCAGATGGCTTCATTCCGCACGAACCAAGGAGCATTTACAATCATCCTTATTGACTTGTTCTGCAATCTCTCCAGAATGGAGATGTTAGCCGGAGCCGCTTGTTCCCAGACGCCTGAAGCATACATGATGACAGGCTTGAACATCATGTTGTAGGTGGTAATTTTATTCTGTTGGTCAGAGGGTACAGACTGAATATCCGGCCCTCGATCCTTGTTTTAACTGATATAATGTGTGGGTTCCAAGTGAGCCTGCGGTCCATAAGAAGGCCGAGGTACTTTACCCGCGCTTGCCAGTTGATCTCCCTTCCAGTGACCCTCACTTTTCTAGCCGGAGAAGATATCGTTCTCCCCATGGTTATCGCCTGAGTTTTTTCTGGGTTCACCCGGATCTTCCACTCGAGGTACCAGCGCTCGAACGAATTGTGACAGCCGTCTTGATTTCGATCAGGTTGAAGCTTGGCTCCCTTACCCTTTGAACTGATGACGAATTGTGAAGTCATCTTGAATTTGGACAGGTTGGAGCCTGGCTCCCTTACCCTTTGGACTGATACGAATTGTGACGCCGATGGTCATCGTCGTTTTGATCAAGATGAAGCCTTGCTCCCTTCCCCTTTAGGCTGGTTTTTGTCAGAGGGACAAACGGGTCATAACTGATTGTTGATGGTGGCATGAAAGTCCTCAGACATCCATACCGCCCTTCGCGGTGTACCCCTACCTGGCTGGGGTGAGATGGATGAAGATATTATTCATCTATAACGGAGGACATAGGGGCCTCATTCGACAGAGTGTCGGGGCCTTCTATATCGAGAGGGGTCGTCTACAGCGTAATCTATAGCTTCCCTGACGAGATCCACTTGATTTTATCCAGATTTGGAGACCAGCTCCCCTACCCTTTTGGCTGATTGTTGGTCTTGAGAGGGACCAATGGGATCATGACTGATTGATGACGGCATGAAGTCCTTAGACATCAGTGCCGCCCTTCACGGGATACCCCTACCTGGCTGGGGTGGGATGGATGAAAAAGTTATTCATCCGTTAACGGGGGACATGAGGGCCTCATTCGACATAGTGTGGGGGCCTTCTATATCGGGAGGGGTCGTCTACAGCATAATCTGTGGCTTCCCTAACTAACGGGAGCTTCCCTGAAAAACGAGAAAGAGTATTTATTAAAAATAACTGCGTAAAAGCAAGCTGGGCATAAGTGGAACCACCTATCGGTGTGACACCCAAGTTAGCTTGCCAAGTTTTCTCATGTTGGCGTTGCTGGTTTGACCGACAACCGACAACTGCATTGGCAGACATTTAGGAAGCTTTCCTGGAATGCCATCGGAAAACGAATCCACATGTTTCTAGAATTGATATGAAATTCAAGAAAGATTGATGCAGTCGAGCTGCTGGAAAATAATTCCATGGAAATCAAAAGATAAACATGAGTACTATTCTGATCATTCCCAAATTGATTTCAACTTAAAAGCAACCGGTAGACAGCTGTTCAAGCATATTGGGCATCATCAGTACCGGGCAGGCGGACCTCGATTGAAGACAAAATGAGAAGAACTAAGAAAAGGATTCGATAAAAATAACTGCGCAAACGCAAGCGAGACGTAAGTGAACCCACCTATTGATGTGACATCCAAGTTAGCTTGCCACTAAGGCCAGCATAAAAAATTGGTAAGCCAACTTGGTGGCTCTTGAATTGGTATCAAATTGGGAATGATCGGAATAGTACTCACCTATTCATCTTATATAGCGAGTGAATTTGATGTCATCAAAAGCGGGGAAAGATCATAGACGAAGAATATATGAATATGCGGACCGTAGGCACGTGTTTCTGGCTTATTAGCTGTCATCAGTACGGTATCACCAAATGTGAGGTTAAGCAACAATTGGTTGATTCGTCCTTGAATTTTCCCTGCTTCAAATACAGCAAATCCACCTGCTGAATTGTCATCCGTATCGTGTGCTGGACCAGATGTCAAGCAGGTAGCAAAAGCTCCCTTGGGGTGACTCTAACCCGTTGTGACTTGATTGATACCACAAAGTGCCGCTGGCTCCTGTTGATGCATTTGTTCTGTTTCTGCAACCAAGTGTTAACTAACCTTGCACTTGGCTATACCGTACTGATGACGGCTAAAGAGCAAGAAACACGTGGCTCGTCCATGAATGATCCCTGCTTCAATATAACTTACCTCGTCCTGAATTCGTTGTCCACCGTGGCAAATTATGAATGACCCAATAAACCATTCTAACGCTATAACAATCGGCGAAATGTTTCCTTCCTACAAAAAGAATTGTATTTGAAAAAACGTTGTGAAAGCTATTTGAAACGTGAAAAAAGTATGGATAATCCACTCGATTGGGAAATTTTGAGAAAATATCTCATAGTTAATTGGTGAAGCTGCAACTTCAGGCGTTTCACCGACCAAGTCGACCTATTCTGAAGTAGCTGATTGATGTTTGTATGACTTATTATGTGTGTCATCGATAAAATTACCTTCATATANGATTCTCATCCATCCTGTTCAGTAGATATCAAATTCAATAATAAAAACAAAATTTTGAATTTTCTCTAACGTCAATTATAATCGAATTCGTGCAAGTAGTAATTTGTACATGAAAAGTTTTCAGCATTTTATAAACTATAACGACCAAAATAAAGCAGAAACTGACAAATGACGTAACGTAACGTCAAATCCCGTTTCAAAACCAACTTGATGCTAGTTTTAAATCATCATGAATACGTTTCAAATCCTAGTTGATGTGACGTCATCGTTTCAGAGCAAGAATTAATGTAATTGAATCACAGACGAATACGTTTTGAATACATGAGCGCCAGAAAACGCCTCTACTCTCGTCATTTTTCCCTAACGCGTCAAAAATTGTATTTTCAAAATAAAAAAGGGCAGTGAAAGTACCCATTTCTCAAAATGATTCCATGAAGTTGATATTTACCCCACTTTGACTATATGGCCAGTTCAACACGTACCTATTATACTTACCCTAAAACCTGAATATGATACCTAACAACAGAGTTGAATTTCTCTCTTCTTTCTTCTGGATCTTGTGCGGCCAAAGCCTCATTGAACAGATGGGCGACGTGTCGAATCCTTATCACAATATGCTCTATGGTTTCCAAAACCATCCAAGCCGAATGCAAGACGACCGCGTAAACGAAATGGCCCCCGATAAGTTGGATAAATAGGTATATTTGCTTAACGGGAAAGAAGTCAATGTTGAATGGCATCCATGTGTAAGAAAAAAGGCCGCAAACTTCGTGAAGATGTCTTTGTTCGTTCTCTACCCTGCACTGTCTACTTTTAAATATATTAGACCCCAGTAGGACGACGAAAACTGCAAATTCCGCGTAGCAGTAATGGTACTGAGAGTATCTGTTGTATTTTTGGTTTATTTCGTCAAACTCGATAGGTTTGCCGAACTCTTCGAAGTTCGAGAAGAAAAGATATAACTGTATGGCAGACTTTATTTTTGAGACGTAGTAACAAATTATTCCATATGAAACACCTATTGAGGCAATGTAGATGACGTCCAGTTCCACATGATTGTAGGACTTGTCTGTGAAATGAAATTGAGTCTTTGTTACATATGTTGCATATCGAAAAGTCAAATGAATCCAATTATTCCTTCATCGCCAGCATATCATACATATATTGTTATCCTAATATTACATAGCATTTGTAGGTAACATCTACCATGACCACGTAGGCAGCTATAAATATCTGCGTGACTTCCAGGTCCAGGATATAAATACAGCTCTGCTGGCGAGATCAACAAGCCAAGCGCACGACACTAGATACTTGCAGCAACAGGCAGAGATATTAGAGGAATGGGCCAACCTGTGGAAGATCAGTATAAACCCTGACAAGAGTCGGGCAATACTGTTCACCCGGAGGATGGTACATCTTCAACGGACAAGAGATTCCGTGGACCAACGAAGCTAGATACTTGGGGGTCAACCTAGATAAATGATTAACGTTCAGGTCTCACGTACGGCAGAGAATAAGAATGGCGAGATCTGCCTGACAAAACCTTCTACTAATAATAGGTCGAAGAAGCAACATGAAACTGAAAGTGAAGCTGCTGATGATAAAGACCGTAATACTACCGATAATCATGTATGCATGCACTGCCTGGGGGGATCTCATTTTCAAATTCCCTGAGAACCAACACTTGCTCGCGACTAAAAAGACACTCGTCTCCGATTAGTTTTTGAGGACCCCATGCAATAATTCACTTAGGAAAGTCACGATGAAACAATTCAACAGATCAGAAAGTAAAAGCACCTAAAGGCTGACTTTCGACCAAATAAGGTCAGATGTCTGTAATAAGTACGCTACAAAATGCCTAAGTGTCAACTGTCTGAGACCAGCAAAGACGATCCTAATGAAGTTTGGTGCACCATTTGTATGGACAGGATGGCTAGGATGTGGAATGCTGCCCGATCTGAGCTTGACTGGTGTTTTAATCGGTGATCTTCGAGATAGTTGACACTTAGGCATTTTGTAGCGTACTTATTACACTTATTACAAAGTCAATCTTGCTGAAGTGCCCATCAGTAAGTTGAGGACCGCTCCGGGGGAGCGGGGGTGGATTAACGAGATGGAATGTTCTGCACACATTAACCGTGTGAAGAAGATTTCAACTCAGGGCACTCTACCCGGGAGGGGGCATGGGGGGATCTAGTGTGTATGATATAAATCAAAATCAGGTCACTATTCAGAAACACATATCCTTTGCCTCCATTTTTAGAGTATTCTGCCTGCGAATCATTCCAATTTTGATTTATATCATACACACTTGATAATATCTATATCTCTGTGTTTTTATTCTGGACCAAGAAGTCATGCTGGTAACTAAAACTGCCTCTGTGTTCATGTTAGATGTTAAATAGGGTTAGATATAGGAATAAAATCTTTGTCTGATTTCCACTTACTCAATGTATTGCTATTAATACGACCAAGGTTTCGGGTTTTAGCCATTCTCAAGTGTTCTAACACTACTCAAGTAGTGTTAGGTTAGGTTGAGAATGGTGCAAAAACCGAAACCTTGGTCGTATTAATAGTAATACATTAAGTAAGTGGAAATCAGGCAAAGTATTTTATTCATATATTTAATCGAAGATGAATTTCCACAAAATAAATAAGTCAATATCACAAATTTAAATAGGCGTGGCCAGTTTTCTAATTGAAACCACAAACCATGTTTGGTAACGAGGTGTTGCCCATTTCTGCAGGGGGAGGGGAGGTACCCCGCACTGCCAAGTGCAAAAATGTGCAAGTTAAATGTGCTTATGATACTAACCTTCAATACTTTTGATCAAATGCAACGTACTTCCAATTATAATCAATGAACTGAACAAAGCAGTTAGCACAAACTTTATGAAAAACTTACTTCCCGGTTTCAAAACTTGATCTGACTGTGGAAATACATTATAAAACCGCAACAGTTTTATAGATGTTGGCATACAAATTATTTCGCGTTCTGCTTTTTTCTTCAGGCCTGCCTCCATGATTACCAGAAAAGTGTGAAACAGTTTTGAAATGGTTTCGATAGTTCTTGCTTTTATATGAAGGGATATCGTTATTTACAGATTCTGATCTGAAATTGGGTCAACTGTAAGTGATCCAATGGTCAGTGGTGTTCACAATCAAACTGTTATCGCAATGGGGAATGTTCCTCAATTTGGGTTATTACAGCAAATGCAAGTTTGAACAAAATAAAGTTGAGTTTAATTCATGAGTTTTTCAAATTCACTTCATAAATCCCTATCATCAAGTTCTCTCGGGCGTTCCCCGAGTTTGTTGGGTCTAAAGGAAAGACTGAGTACAAGGTTTAGCTTTCAAAGTCGTTTCAACATAACCTACATCAAGCAGAGGCATTTTTTCCTCATAACTATACATAATCACTCTGTTCAGAAAATAAGATGAAATTTCATTTTTCATTTTCTTTTATTTCCATCCAAACAGCAGTTGATATGTTCTTTTTGGTATGTCCTTCAGCTCATAACTTCAATATAATACTCCTTGAGGTGTTTTTTTTGGTAATGGCTCTTTCATTGGGACGGCAGGGTTTTGGTTTCGGTTTGGGCACTAGAGTGCCCATGATTCGTCACCATTCAATTCCATGTTTTCACAAAATTTGATGCAAATTCTTTGATACATTTTTTCGATAGCAGAAAATCGCCGAATACCAAAATACTTTTTATTTTTATGCCTCTCACCAACAAACTGAACATGCTAAATGGCTGAAATTGTGAACATGTGTTCGAGACAGGTGTATCAACATAAAAAAAGTCGCAAATCGTAGCCCGCGAAATTTAAACATTCAATTTATCAACAGACCTCGTATGTAGCAGGTAATCAACCCTTTAACAGTGATTTTTAATAACTCAAATTGTTAATAACTCAAATTGTTTATAACTTTACATTTGACGAAAGCTATTCAATATTTAGCTTACTTGAGATATTTCAATTTATTCAAGCACGCCTGTGCGATATTCTTACATAAATCAGATTTTATTATAGAACTATTCATATTTTATGAGACCCACTAGTTCCTGAAACTATAATTTTCTCCATGCAAGGTGATTTTGTAGGGAATATTGAAGTGACTAGTTATTTAAATAAATACTATTCGACAAATTTGAGTATGAAAAAACTGGAGCAAAATCTGATCTATGGCTTCAGTTACGTGATTATGAAATCCCTTATAATTTTCTACATAGAAAACTCCTACTATTTTTCCACAATTATCTGCATACTTAGTGAATCTGAAATGTATAATAACCACTTTATATATTTATTTATAAATATGATGTCACTGCTACGTTTGTTTTCTTTGAAATACTTGATTTTTGGTGGAAGATGTTTGTTGATGTTATGTTTTTTGGAACTCTATGTATTTATGTGCCCATTTTGTCTAAAAAAATGAGACGAATTGGTTATAAATATGATTTTAGAACAACTTTTGGAATTACCAATAATATTGAGATCTCTTCTCACACGAACAAAACCCGAGAATGCAGGTGAAAAGACGAAAGAGCATATTTCTAATATACCTTGTTCCTGCGGAAGAACTTATATGTATAAGTGAAACATTGAGACTTCTAAATGTAAGAAAAACCAACATCAAGAATACAAAATAGAAGAAAAATAACAGAATCAGAAGTAAGACTTATTGGACTTTTCAGAGGTTTATATTATGCAGTTTGAGCAGATTTTCTGTTAAAAATTTATTTTTCAGATTATGGAAGATTAGAAACCCAAAAAATATTAACCGACCAAAACTTTTTTTAAAACTCTGTTCGGAAGGCTAATTCATTTTATTTTCAACGTTATTAGGGAGATTTTCAAAGATATGAAGTTCATATCAGCATTCACCGTCTACTTACATTTCATTCTTATTTACCACAATGGCACTTCAGCACCCCTATGTCCCCTCCCGAGTTGAGGGGACATAGGGGTGCTGTGTTCTAGACACAGTAACCCTACACGGTTACTGTGTCTAGAACATCTTATCTTGTCCATCCTTTCCCGCTCCTCCGGAGCGGTCTTCAACTTACTGATGGGCACTTCAGCAAGATTGACATCTGATCTCTTTTAGTCGAAAGTCAGCCTTTAGATGGTTTTACTTTCTAATCTAATGTTTGCTTTTATCATGGCTTTCCTAACTGAATTTTTGCATGGGGTCCCCAAAAATTAACCGGAGACAAGTGTCTTTATGTCGCGAGCAAGTTTTGTTTCTCAGTAATCTGAAAATGAGATGAATTTGAAATCTGGTTAAGAAATTTTTATACTTACCGGAGCCGTCTGATAGCGACTCTCGGGGGTGGTCTCTGGTTCTGCTTCGTTGGCCTCCTGTATTTGTCCCTGTCTTGGAATCTGAGGTCATCACTGTTCAGTGCGTTGTGTAGATCGCTTATCGCTGGACTGTCGTGCGCTCGAATTCTGTCGAACGTGTCATCTGCGTGTTTTCTCATGTATGCGTCCACGTAGTGTATGTTCAGGTCTAGATCCTGGAATATGTACCTATTCGGTACATATTTTGGAGCGTTTACGGCGACTCTTACGCACGCGTTCATAAACGACTGAATCGGCATTCTGTATGTCGCTGCGCACTAGCCCCAGGCAGTGCAGGCATACAGGATTATCGGTAATATTACGGTCTTTATCATCAGCAGCTTCACTTGCAATCCCATGTTGCTTCTTCAACCTATTATTGATAATAGTTTTTGTCGGGCAGATCTCGACATTTCTATTCTTTGTCGTACGTGAGACCTGAACGTTAATCTAGCTTCGTTGGTCCACGGAATCTCTTGGCCGTTGAAGCTGACGTTTCCTTCCGGGTGTACCACCCCAGGGCGAACAGTATTGCCTGGCTCTTGTCAGGGTTTATACTGATCTTCCACAGGTTGGCCCATTCCTGTAATCAATCTGCCTGTTGCTACAAGTATCTAGTGACGTGCGCTTGGCTTGTTGATCTCGCCAGCAGAGTTGTGTTAAAGTTTGTTTCCCCGGCTTGGGCACGTCGCCACACAGAAAAGGTGTGGCGAAAGGACTGCACTTTGTGAGACCCCTGCTTCCAGTAATCGGATGGTTGAGAGTTCTTGTCCTACTCTGCAGCGGCATCGCCTGTAGCTAGAAAAGACTCGATTAATCTTTCCAGTGGTTTCGTGTAGCCAAAGTTGCTCATTTTGGCCAGAAGTCCGTCATGCCAAACTCTGTCAAACACCTTGGAGACGTCTAAGAAAATCGCTCCGGTGTTGTACAGCAAACATCCGTAATTCAAAGGACAACTAATAACGTCACAAGAATAGCTCCCCCACTTCCGATAAAGGCGGCAGCCAACAAGACGTCCCACCCTAAAGCTCACCCTTTAACCTCAACACGTCACCCCTGCACCCCACCTATATCCCACCACTTACTTTCATTATTATTTCCGACAATGGATAATAATAATATTTAATATACCGTGGTAGTGCTCAACTTGGTGATACAGCATTTCAAGGACTGAGTCACAGTAAAATAATACAACCAGTAGAGTATCTTACCACGTGATCCGCCCGAGTTGCCGGAGACCTTCAACCGCTCTTAAGATGAGATTCTCATCCATCCTGTTCAGTGCTGTAGTATCGAAGGATTCGACGGTTCCAGGGGCATCGGATTAGTTATAAGCGGTCGGAAATTGATATTGTGTTCAGTTTATTCGCTGTTGTTATTGTTTTTAGTTTTTGTAGTTGGTTATGATTAACTCACCAACAAAATCTTCTATAATATCCTTGAAGTTCGTTTTTATATGAGCGCACGCGTATGGTAAAGAACAAAATTGGCTCCGCACTTCATTTCGAGGTCACCGAGAACTTTGTGAATTTATGAATGAAAATAGTGAAAGTGGACTTACTGGTTGATTTTTACTATAACCTAGTTATGTCAATGAATGTAGGCTGAGACATGCATACGTCTCCTAGGAACCCCTACATCCAACAGGTGAGTAAGGTAGACTGAGGTATCCTAGTAAACCATGATAAACCCATCGTTTTTTATTATAATTCGACAGAAAGTGAGCAAGTTTATTGGATTGGAATAAATCAGAAGATGGAGAAATCAAAGACAACAACTTAGTGAAACACGCATCAAGCAGAGTAGGTATTGCATTTCTGGTGATTGGGAAAAGAGCTTGTTGTGGACAAAAAACCTTATTGGGCTAGTCGAGATAAAAAAACGAGAATTATTACCCTCATCGGCATTTAGGAATGACGAACTGAATTCCTCTCAAAATTTTGAAAAACATATATTTTATTCTAATAAATTCACAACGGCATTATCGCATTTCTATTCGGGATGCAGCCACCATAAAAACTTTGACATTTTTACAAAGTGAAACTAACAAATCTGTAACAATCTGTTTTTCCGTCAACCAGCTGTCGCATCTTTGAAAACGTCAACCCTCAGAAGTCAAAACGTTTCGATATAAGAATTAACAAGGTCTTACCTTTCAACGTGTAATTCCTAGTACTGGTTGGAGGATAGGAAGTGGAAATCGATCGTCCGGCCTCGAGGCTTGAACCACCAGTTCAAACAGCGGGGATCAGAAGAGCTCCAGCTTAGTCGAGGACTTGCTCGAACTCGGCAGAATATGCCGAGAGAGGAAGGCAAAGCTGGTGACGATCCGGGGCAGTGACAAAAAATTGGAGTAGGAGTACCCTCAATTCAGGCAGACAGTGACGAAAAATTGGAGTAGGAGTACCCTCAATTCAGGCAGTGACGTCACCACACCAGTCAAGTTGTGTTTCAGTTCTCCTGACAAGACAGACAGACCACCCAGCCAACCAAAGTGCACCAAAATGTCACGTGGCGTCCTCAAGCTGTCATCCAGCTAGCTAAGCGGTGAGACAGTCAATCAGAGTGTACCAAATTGTTAGGTAGTGTCCTCAAACTGTCACCTAGCCCGCCAGTTAACCAGAGCGCTCGCTTTTGCATCGTGGCTACCCAGGCGGGAGATTTGAATTTCTGTTTGTCTTGTCTGGCGAGCTGAGATGCACCCTGTCGTCCGCCACAATCCTGTCATGACGTCATGAAAAAGTTTCCGTTGGAGAACTGAACTCAGGTCGTTGGCGCGGAAGCCTTGATCGTTAGTCTCAACACCACCGGAGGATATTGAAAGTAATTGCGATAGTGATAGCTTTGATCATTGCTTTTCGAATTGTTTTTAGAAGGTTCATTTGAGTTGTAATTATGATCCCTGCTCATGTAAAATAAAACATTTCTCAATAATTTATTTTGGTTCTCTATTTTTTCAAACATTTTGAAGGTAGTACGACATAATTTAGGAACACAAAGAATAAAGGATATACAAAACATTAATTGTATTGAGAACACTAACTACATGAATCGTGAATTTAACACTTTTTGGTCTTAGCCAAACATATAAACATAAAAATATTGTTTTCGAAGGAAAACAAACACATTTGTATTGGTCTGCAAAACGACTTCACATGAGTTTGTCTATATCCATAAGGGATAAAGCTAAGTCTGTACTTGTAATTCGAGACGATATTAAGGTATCTTCATCACTTTCATCCAAATTACCAGAAGGCAATTTACTTTTACATCTGAACTTCTCTATTTTATTATCACAGTCTTCAAGTAACTCATCACAGCCCTAAAAAAAGGATGAGTTTAAGAATAAATATGATTTTATGAATAAAACTTATAAATTTGACCCAAATCGATTTGGCTTTCAAGAAAAAAGTGGCACACAAATGGCAGTTATGGAAGTAGTTGATTTTATTCAGGATAATCTTGATGAAGGACACAAAAAAAGGGTTTTGACTGTGTTGTACATAAAATTTAGAATCAATGGGAATTAGAGGCAGGGTAAATGATCTTTCAACCTCATATTTTACTAAAAGAACTATTTGCACTAAAATAAATGAAGTGACTTGCGACATACATTTAATAAATAAAGGCGTTCCTCAAGGCTCAGTTTTGGGTCCAATTCTGTACTTATTATATATACAAAATATTTGTCAAATTAAATTAACATGTAAGTATACAATATATGCAGACGATACAGTACTTTTATTCGTAAATAAAAACCCAACTATTTTAGAAAATACAATTAATGATGATGTGAAACTTTTTGAAAAATGATTTCTCTCAGTTAACCCAAATAAAACTGCATTTATTACGTTTCATAAAAAAAAAACAAGATATTACATCAAATATTTCTATAAAAAATACGCAAATGAAACAAACTGTGCAATTGAAGTACCTTGGTGTTCATGTTGACAATAAATTGAAATGGGATATACATATTGACATGCTGCATATTGACATTGGACATTTGCACCACGCAAATGTCCAAAATTGAAACCAGAAATAGCAAAAAATCTTTTGGATTCACATATTCTTAGCCGGATTGAATATTTATTAAATATATGGGGAGCATGCTGTAAAAATACCTTGTTGATAAAGACAAATAACAAAATAAAAAAAAATAAATAACACATTGACAGGGGCAGTAGATTGTAATTGTGTTATCAAAAAGTAGGTGTAGGTATTTTATTTTTTCCAATCCCTGCTATATGCATATCTCCATACAAATTTGAGAGCCTGTATTATAGAAGTCATCCAAAAGTAATACATATATAATTTTGAATGTACAACGATATTCAGCTTAAAAAATTCGTACAGTGAAATATTAAGCGTCTGGTATTTGAAACTACTCTACAATTATTGTAATTCTTACCTTCGGCATAGTCTTTTTGAAATCTTCCAAATATTCCTGTAAATGTTTATGCTGGGAATATGACGAAAATACAGTGAAGTGGTTTCCAATGGCTTGAGAAACATCATCTGTCAAATTACGAAATCTTAAGTTACATACAGTTACGGCTTGTCCTCTTTTCACGTTATCCAACAACAAACATGTGGTTGGGCCCTCATATATCTGAATCAAAAGTAGCCTACAATAAAATAAATTCAATGCTTGTGGATTGTTAAAATGCCTGGAAAACAGCAAGAAACATTGTCTCGACGCACACAAAAATGTCTTTCATAGAATACTCGAAATATTTTGTCCTCACCTTCCGGAGAAGTCAGCCAGCCACGCTTCCTGATATTTCACATCGATTTTAATTTGTACCACAAGTCCAACAGTATCGAATTCGCTGAAATTTACTGAAAATTTTGAGTCCGAAAGTTGACTTATTTCGATAACTTTCCTTTTGAATATTTCGCTCATCGGTTCTCTGGGCGATTCAGGTTTGAACATGGTTTTCGAGCTGGAACTCAAATCTCCATTCATTCTACAATCGTATATTATAAAAAAGGTGAAAAAACAATAAAACTAGTTTACTTTGGTAGTACATTATAAGCGATCATTGATGTCCCCTCCCTTAAAATTTGGAAATGGGATTCTGTAGGACGCCAAATTGTGAAACTGAAGGCTCTAGTAGGACTGCCGTTGATGTCAACGACAAGCATTTTAAAAAGAGGTACAACGTCTCTTGTCGCCACTTTCAACTTCTCTGCACTATGTTTCATTCTACTCGAGATTTCTTGCTGTTTTTGTTGAAATAAATTGCTTCTATATTCCATGATAGCTGTCTTCTGGGTTGAAGAGAGCTTCTCCTAAAAAGTTATAAAACTCAAAGTATGTTCCACATCAACGAAAATTCGTCATAACGAAAGACAATCTGATATTCTCGCTTCAAAAAGTTACTGAAGAAAAACTCCAATAAGTAGTATGAAACTAAAAAGTAAAACAAATATAGTTTCAATAAACTAAAAAACACGCTTTTGAAGAACATCGAATTGAAAAGTTAATTTCTTTTAAAATTAACTTAAAACAATAACGATTGAAAAATACTAGTAATTTGTGATAAAAGCGACGTGCGCTTGATATACAAAAAATATAGCACGAAGATCCCACGCTTTTTTCACAATAATAATAGTATTTTTCGATCGTCATTGTTTTTAGTTCGATGTTCTTTGAAAGCTTACAGCGAAATCAAAAATAAACAAGCTATCACAGAAGCCATAAGTATATACAGCTTGTCCGTGACAAAATATATTATAAATACAGTATTCAATTCGTCATGCAGTCATTGTTCACTGTGGTTCTGACTTTGAATCTGGTCATTATTACGCATTGATCAAATACGAAACGGACTGGTATAAGTTTGACGATAGTCGCGTCTTGCTCCACGACAACACCCGTCCGCACGTCTGAAAATGAAACTGATTGAACGTTGAAGTTATGCCCCACCCACCATACTCCCCAGACCTGTCGCAAATCGACTACCACCTTTTCAAGCACTTCAATAACTTTCTCACAGGTAAAACCTTTGCCAATCAGTACCAGGCAAAAACGGCCTTCAACTTCATCGAATCCCGAGCAAACAATTTTTATGTTGACGGAGTTAATCAACTTTTGTTACTAATCTAAAGAAATGAACTTTCAACGTTCAAGCCAGTCTCGAATATACCTACACAGTAGGTTGAATGGACTGACGACTATCAGAAAACAACTACTCCCCTGGCTGATACCACGAAGGGCGTTGGATTATATCCAACAGGCGTCTGTCGGATATAATCCAACGCCCTTCGTGGTTTTAGCCAGTGGAGTAGTTGTTTTCTGATAGGCGTCAGTCCATCCAACCTACTGTGTAGGTATATCCGAGACTGGCTTGAACGTTTAAAATTCATTGCTTTAGATTTGCTTACTGCCAGACTTCAAGCATAGCCCACTGACTAATAAGAAAACTTGTGTTACGTTGGCAACAGTGCATTGATTCAAATGGCGCTTATTTCGATTAAATGTGACCATTCACTGAGATAATAAAGTTTGAAGTTTACTCATAAAAACGGACAGAAGTTTTGAAACAACCTAATACTTTGCTTTTTTTGAACGTTCCATATTTCAGAAAGCTTTCTTTTGCATTTTTGAAATCTATATTATCTCTTTGTTAGGCAAAATTGAATAAACGACAAATTACTGGCTAATTGGACTTTTTCGTCAGGAGTCCCAACTAGCAATTTTATATTTTATAATGGTTGTGAAAAGGTTTTGGAAAAACAAATTATAAAACTGTATTTCTCCCATAAATGTTTTCAATGTGTTTATAAAACAACTATAAAAATAGGAAATTGGCACCGTTTTATAAAACATTATAGTCTTTATTAATATTTTGTAAGGCCTTTCACAAAACAGTTTTATAAACATTTTGGCAGTTACTATAAAATTTTTCTAACGGGTTTATACTG